AGCTTTCAGGGTTATGCCCTCTGTGTTTTTTATTTATTTAATCTTTAGCACTAATTTCAGTAGTCTGACATTCTTTCATTTTTTCAGTGGTTTTGCTGAGCGTGTTACCTTTCTGCCGCTATGCTGACTCAATCGCCTGGCTCATTTCCCTTCTCGGATGCCTAAGTTTGGATGTGTTTTGTCAGCGTCAGGATGTCTCTTTTTTTGCAAATGTGGTTCCTGCTGTATTTATCCGAGTTGGATATGGCAGAAACCTATGTCAAACTGATTTATTTTGAATTCAATTCAAATACTTTCCTCCATAAAGGCAATTTAAGCAGCAAGCAGTGCAAATACAGTACAACGCATGCCAAATTAAAACAGTAAAAACATGCTAACATAGAAAAAAAAATGGAAAAAGGTCCATAAAATGATTATGTAAGTAACTTAGTACGTGCGCATTGTCAGGGCAGTGTCCTATACTACCAATAAAATAAGAATCAATAATTTAGATATTAAAACATTAAAACATTTTTACACTCATTATTTGTGAGCTTGACAGCTTCGGGAGCAAAGCTACATTTTCTTCTCTTTGTCGTGCTCTGCAGAGAAAACATCTTCCTGAAGGAAAAAGTTCAAAAGACTGAAACAGGAGATGGGTCTTCAGTGATGGTACAGGTCTTCCTCAGGATCTGACGGACATAAAGGTCTTAAAGGCTCACCAATGATTTTGGAATTAAGGTTCACTTACATTTTGAGGGCATTTCTTTATCATTTGAGTGAATGATGTGAACAAACAGATAAAAGAACAAGTTAAAAAACTTTGAATGAAAGAACGATAATTGTTGATATAATTTGTTTTTCTTGAACTCCAAAAGAACTCAGTTTTCACATCCATATAAGCACTGCTGGGATTTCTTCACAATGACATCAGTGAACTTAAATCTATCATTAAACACAGTGCACCAATAATAATATACTCAGTGGACTTTACCAACCAGAAAAGATAGACAACTATGGAATTATTACCTTTAAATTCTAATCAATACTGTTTTCTTATTAGTATTAGTATTTGTTTTGGTGGTAACAGTAATAATAGTAGCACTTTCTTTTGCAGTTATAATGGTATGAAAGTATTACTTAATACATATTAAAAGCTGTTTCTTTTCCATCAATTGTGGCCTTGAGACTTAAAATATTAATATGTACAGTACATTGGCTCCTCATAGGGAGCTTTATCATAAGCACGGGAACTGAAGTAATGGATGAAAAATGTTAAGAATTTAGTAAAAATGGACTAAATAACAATAACTGCTATTTCTAGAACCACATGTGGGTTTTTACAATAGGTTTTATAATGGAAAAAAGCTTAATTCAGCAAAAAGGCAATCTGACCATTACAATTTCCATTATAATATAAAGTCAAAAAGACTCCCCCTCTATGGCTCAATTGTTGTCCCTTTTGAGATTTCTTGTCATTTCTCTCCATCTTCATTTTCAGCTATTTTATCTCCAATTGCCATTGACAAATAGTCTCTACAGAGGAAGCAAGAGGTAGTCTTTGCACAAAGGGCTGCATGTATCCAGGACAAACTAGCCAGCTCTATTGTTGAAGCACGTTCCCTGCTATCCTTAAGAAATGACTCTTGGAATCCAAATCGTGAGGACCTGATGTTCTCTTATATGAAGTCTTTCTTGTGTTGTGTGTTTTTGCTAGGGAAAATATGTCCATTAAATCTTTCTCGTACACCTGAACCTCTCTGAGTGTGAGTCAGGCTGAAGAGGAAAGAAAATAGGTTTACGCAGACAGGTTGATTTACACAAACAGGGTCAAAGACAAGGAATAGACCCCTATTGCGACCTGTCCAAAAAATGCGTGTTTCCTCCTAGTCAGGGGAAAACACTCCATGAAGATTGAGACCTGGATTAAAACATACAGATTGCAGTTTGGTTGTAACTTCATAATGGTTGCTGGATTGTATTTGCTATTTAATCTGAGCTTTAGTCATGATACATAAAATATATCAGTCCCATTAAAAATAAATCTGAAAAAATAATTGCATTATGCAATGGCACTATTTATACGCAAATTATTCACTTGAGCGATTCTGTTCTTTAACAAGCATGAAAAAGCCACTAATTTGACATTAACAATAATAACAATTATTATTAATAAGAACTTTATTTTACTATTTATTTTAATGAACACCTTAAAGTGTTTAATAAAATGCTGTTTTTTTCTGAAGCTAGTCTGAATGAGGAGTCATCGAGACAGCTTGTTAAAGAAACAATAAGTGCATTTATTTTAGATTCGAGGGTTTGTCAGATCTTTTGCCTCTCTGCTTTGAGAAACTGCATTGCTGTTCCCTTGGGTCCTCCCACTCAAATGCTCACCTGCTGGGAAAAAGAAATCACCTGCAATTTTTCAGCAGCCCCAGCAAAACCTGCAGAAGGGTAGAGCAGCTGTCATTTACACCAGTTAACTGTTAATTCACTCTGCCTTGGTTCCACTTGACACTGCTTTAATATGCTATGATATTTGGGCTCCTTTTGGAATTGCATTCCAGAGCAGGATTTCTGTGATTGCATGGAAACCATAACTTTGAATTATGCAGTTATAAAACCAGAAATTAGAAAAACAGTCAAAACTAATCACCGATTCATTTTATTAATCATGTTTTCCTTCATTTCTAACATCTCATCCTAATTTACCTGTAGGTGAAAAAATCCATGCACAGAAATATCTGTGTTACCTCAAATGGGTTCCACATACTGCCATTCTTACCAACTGCTAAGAATGAGGTCAGTTATTGTCAGCACTACTTGGAAACTTAAAAATCAAATAAGATTTGGTTAAAAATCTGTGCACACCAAGATGTGCCCCACAGCTCTTTACAGCATCCTACTGAGTTCTAACTGCAAAAAGAAACAACACAGATTAAATCAAAGGAGCACCACATCTCTTCTGCAAGTATGTTTTTTTTTTCTTTCCCCCACTCCTTTCAATTGGAAATGCCACCTGAGAGTTGTAGAGATCAGAGCGTGGATGTTTGATGACAGCAAAGGAAAAGAAAAGGCTGCACTAAGTGTTACCAGAACATAAGAATCTGTAGAGTCAGTTCAGCCTAGATGGTCACCCAGCTGTAAAAAAAAGTCAATAATGTGTCCACAGGAAAAGAAATGAAATATCTTGGCAAGGACATTGCAGATTGAGAAAACGTCTATCTAGACAGGTTGGCCGCAGATGTTTCAAAACCTCATTGAAGAACGTGATCTTTGTGATTCTGTTTAATTTGTTGTAAGTGCCTGACAATACTCATCTGCCTCAACATCAGAGAATAAGAATTAAAGCAACTAAACAGTCATTATGAAAATTTGTTTCCCGGCTTTGGTTCTGCCTTATATCAAAGTGCACTGCCTGGCTTTGAAGTTTTTCATCTCATTTAAATCAGGAGAAGGTGTACAGATATTTTTACAGGCTGGTGAATTAAACATTGTTTTACTCTTTTATACAACAAATGCAGACCTGGAAAACAACAGTGGTCTTCATCCTTCTTTATATATATATTTATGTGTCCTGCATGGTGCACTTAAACAGCTGGAGTGAATGTGTACTGGGCCATTTCATTGTTTTCACATAATTATAAGACAGTAGCACATACAGTTGTCCCCACATAAGAGCAATTCTTTAGCTCATCCGATATCCCAAGATAGGAAAGTATTGTCTTCATTGTGCTGATTTTCTGACAGATCATAATCATCTTATTACTATTTAACTCATGGAAATAACCCATACATTAATCATGATCATTTAATTTTCTCTCCAAATGATGTGAAATAACTAGGTGCTCTGTTGCATAATAATATCTGTAGCGTTTGCCAAGACCTATTGCAATAGCTGGTGAACACAGCAATTAGAGGTATAATTGCAAGATGAGCCAAGTAAATAAAGGGACTATTGAATTTGCTAAAATAATTGTGAAGTGTTAAGCACCTGAATATGTTCTGTTTAGTGCCACACATGCCAGATAGACCTGTTGTGGTCAAAGGAGAGCAGTTTGACAGTCAAATTTTGAGTCTCGACAGATTTCCCCAATTTACTGTGTTTTTCCCCCTTGGGTTTGGAATGCAGGTTTAAAAATGCAAAATAACGAGTACAGGTTTATTCCATGCTGAAAAGAGAAGAAAAGAAACACAACCTTTTGGCTGCGGAGCCTTCTTAGGGCGTGAAGATTAAAAACATATCTAGTGTCCAGTACCACATTGTGGTTAAAGAAGAAACAGACCTTAGGGTTGGCGGCACCAGCTACAGCCTAGGAAAGTGGTTGAAGATATCGTACCATTAAAGCTCTCAGTCATCACTCTTTTAGCACACTACTGGCCCCCTTCTCAGCCTACTCACCACTGACGCAAGCATTAGCCTGAAGTCAAATGCCACCTAGAGCCATTCTCACTTGCTTTACCAGTATGTAGGCTGACCTTGAACTGCAGGATAAATGATTTTCAGAGCTGTTTCAGAGAATGTCAGAAGGCCTAGAACTACTATAACTGGGAATACAGGTTTAATATTTTTAAAGATTGATTTTTAATAAATAAATAGATTAGACCTGCCAATTTTAACATTTAAGATTCCTCAATTTTTTTTTTACTTCTTTTTTTTTATTCTTCAGTATTTGCAATTCCATGAGCTTGTAATTCAGAATGTCTGACAGTGCCTTTTGGGCACCACTCATGCAACTAATAAAGAGCTATCGAATCAATCACGAATGCTTCGTACTGTCTCCTACCAAAAAATCACCAACTGTAAAAAGCCTTACAGCTACAAATGATATAGTGTTTGAGATGCTATGGTTTCAAAAGACTCTGAGTGACCTGCCTTATGATTTTAACAGGCTTCAAATTTATTGCAGGTACTTGATATGGTAGATGGTGGATTGTAAAGACAGCTGGTTAATAGCATCTGAATGTTTTATTTGTCATCCTGTTTACGATACAGTGTTTTTTATTCCTTTATTCTCTAGGTGTTATATATACAGTATCCAGTTTGTTTCCCAGAATATCACCCAGAGGTGAGACTGACACCACCTTTATTGCTGAAGTAAAAATGAAGTGAATACCCGATAAGCTTAGGTTCTTTGTACAAACTAGTCTATAAAATGTTGAGCTCCTTTCAGGCCTCACATTTTTCTACTAAAAATACAAGAAAATATAAAAAGTCTATTTCTCCATTCAGATAGTGAGTCAATAAAAACTGCTGACATTATGCATTTGGTCTAGCTTTACATAATAACACTATTGCTTCTATTACTACTAATGTTTTATTTAACCATATACAGTATGCCAGCTGAAGACATGTTTCTGTATACAATGACAATCTAGACAGTGCCCATTTATGCAGCAGAGCGTTTTAGTGGAATAATATTAGTTTACCAGCTTGTTTGAAGAGTATAGCAGCACTGCCTCACTGAGGATATGAACACATAACCTCCCAGCTACAACTGCAGTGTGCTAATCACTGCTCTAACAGAATAGACAAGACTTGACAGGCAGATTGACTGACTTCTTTACAACTGCTATTCTTTGACTCACTTTTTTGTGATGAGAATTTTTTATTTGACCTGATTTTCAGCGATTGGTAATTGATTGTTATTGAATTTCAGGATGGAAACAAAAGCAGGTAAAGATATTTGTTAGTTTTGGCCTTGTTAATTCCAGTGCATCCCCATGAAGACTCAAATTGCACAAATTGCAGTTTAAAGTAGGCAATCTGTGTTGCCTGTCTAATTGGCTGGATTTAACAAGGAGTGGCACATTATCTATCTGTTCACTGGCTTCCTGTCAAATTCCATGTGGACTTTAAAATCCTCATGCTCACCTATAAGGTTCTGCATGGCTTGGCACCTCAGTACCTGTCTGAACTATTATCGCCCTACTCTGCACCTCACAACCTTTGCTCTGTTATGCCCCCAAGCTCTAGAACTCTCTGCCCAAGGATATCAGAGAGTCACCTACTCTAAACTCCTTCAAATCCAGACTCAAAACCATCTTCTTTACCCCTCTGCTCCTCTGCTATTCTTAGTACCAGCATCCACAGTCTCCTCTGTGTATTGTAATTGTGTTTTATCCTGTGTATTCTTTTTATTTATTGTTATTGTCATTCTGTAAAGCGCTTTGAGAAGTCACCTTTAAAGGCACTATATAAAATAAAGTTCACTATTATTATATTACATCACCAAATGAAAAACGAAACAATAATATAACAACAAACTCCCAAATGCTTAAGCAGGAAGTACAAATGCAATCTAAGACACATGAACAAACACAGAACTACACTGACTAGTTGGGAAGAATGACAATCTCATAAATCTGTCAAGATCTTCATTGACAGAGTTAAGCAAAAAAGCTTGTCGTCTTTCATGGCTTCAACTCAAGCTACTAAAACACTTGCCCAACAGCCCATAATAATGCACTTCATCTGGACAATTGAACAGTATTGTCATTCTAATGTATATTATAAAAAGAGCACTGCACAAACGAGAGTAAAATTGAATTTAATTTTCACTGAATTCAAAAAGAAACCTAGAAACTATTATTATGCAATATGTGGACTGCCTTTTCAGATTACAGAATTAACAAACGTTCCCTTTCTAAGCATGCAATATAAAAATTTGCAGAGAAAATAAAGCAGGGGGTGTCTTCAGAGGTCAAATGTTAATGTTGAACCAAGGCTGACTTCTCCAGTGCATCATCGTAAAGTCATTCTCTATTTTCCAAAGGAATACAAATATGTTGTCTATATGAAAGAGGAAATGCACATTATAGCCCAAGACATTTCCCTACCGTTTTAGTGGAAAAAGGACACGCTTCATTTAACCAATTTTTTCTGGCTTAGTTTAGATTTGCTTTTTTCAGGGAACACACAGTAAGTGTGCATTCAAGAGAGCTTCAAGAGTGTCACAGTGAATTAGCCTCCTCAGTAAGTCTCTGCCTCACCGGACTTTAACTGTCAAGATGCAGAGGCATGCTATAGTTCTTCCCCGATACCTCAATGACTTCCAGGAAAAATGCATTTTCCACAATCTGCAGAACAAACTGGAAAACAAAATGAAAACTGTTTTATTTATTTTCTTGTTTGGTCTCTTTGATTTACAAATTCCAGCTATTGCCCATAATTTTAAGTGACATGTACAGCCATGGCTATTGTGCCTACCTGACCTGTAACGTAAAGTACCCTAATAAAGTGTGTCCAGTCCCTGAGCTTCCCTGAGTCACAAAGTGACTGGCCCTTGATTTGTTGTCCAGTCATGTACAAGCTTTCATCCTTGATCTGTCACAGGGTTTTACCACCAACAAAAGAGTTTTAAAGCCCTTATTTAGTATAGAAATTGTGTGTTCCCAGATATCTTTCTCCAAGACTGTGCATTTCTTGTCCAAAATAAGCTGAAAATCAGCAAACCTACAAAACTCAATACATTTCTGACCCAATTGTATGCTATTTAACACACTCACAAAAAACGCAAAAAGGATTTAAGTGTGCAGTGTTGCATAGGAAAAGGCTAGCCTTTGCAATAGTGCTATGGGCAAATCTCATCAGTGTAAACATTGCAAAATGTCTGATAAGCCTGATTAACTTTTTGGCATCAATCACCTCTAGAGATATTTCCAACTTCTACCCATTTCACATCTTACAGTTGTCAAGGAAACATCCTGAGGTGCTCAGGCAATCCTGCTTGTAAGCACAACTGTCAGACGTGATGACTGTATCATGACAAGGTGTAAGAAGCAAAACTGTGCTTTTCAAAGCTGGAATAAATACAGCTTTATGACTGCATTTTCTTTAAAATTAAAAATTCCCAATGACATCAGCAATGTCGAAGCTTCTGGTTATCATTAGAAGCTGGAATTAGGTGGATAATTTCTATTTGTTATTTTGGCTGTTTCGCCCATTTACTGCAACATTAATATAATCAATAATTATTTGTGACAGTAGCAGGCCTATCAGCTCATCTTGTGTGTCTGCATTGATATCATGGTAACTCATTCTCATCCCATTATTTGAGGAACCCCATTGAAACCATTCCTACCGCATGTCTGGACACATTTTCTCTGTGTATCAATTTCACTGACAACACAATTAATTCAAGGTATCTTATTAGAATGGATTGGAAAACTCAAGAAAAAGTGACAGATATTTGGGTCTAGAATATTCAATATGTTTTTTTATTTCTATATTTTAAGGGTTTGGAATAAAAAAAATGTTATTCCTAGTGGAATGTTATCTTTGGATAATGTTTCCTTTACTAATATTACAATATCCCAAAAATAATCCAGTGCCAAACTGAACCTGCATACAGTATGTTTTTTGATGATCTCAGAGTAGGGTCAACTCTCTCAGCAGGGAGGTTAAAGTGAAAGTGACATACTGTATGAAGGTCACAGAAAAAAGAAACCAGACATATCACTGATGTATTGTTATTCTTAAATGTGCACCTTAATGTAAACTGAAATGATTTCCATCTGGTAACATTTAACATTGGATTGTATGTATGTCTAACTGTAGCAATTATTCAATGGCATGTTTTAATTATATTTCTTACATAACACATGGGATAATCTTTCATAGGACTTTATATGTGTGCATTTGCTCAAAAAACTGAAAATGACAAAAACTATCAACCTAAAAATAATTATTTGTTGTATTTTCAAAGTCTCAAAGCTCCTTTACAGATATCTAGGATCTCATTTTTCTACTATACATACACTATTTAGAAACCAACCTCTTCACTTTCAAATTAATAAAAGAGCATGTACCATGCGAGTCTAAAATTAGAGCACATCAATTAAAATACATATTCTTCAACAAAAAATGTATAGCTGTTGGCATTTCAGCTGTGCAAATGACTAAATGTGCGCAATGGCTCCTTGTTAGAGAAAATTCAGGAAAAGAGTCTAATTCATTTCTCTCAGTAATGAGTCCTGTGGGACTGTGCTTAGACTGTGTGAGAGTCAGGTTGAGGTGTGTGGCTGCTGACGCCATCTGAAACACTTAAAAGTATCCCCTTTAGTTTGTTCATTGCAGCTCTGTCTTGTTGGTTTTGTAAGAAATAGCATGAAATACTGTGAAATAATTATGTTGTTCTGCAAGCAAACCCTTTTCAAATTACCACTTTGTTTGCTGCTACGAACTTTTCTACACTTGATGTGTGTAATTGATATTGTTCAAATTTATAGAAGCAGGACAAAGTGACAGGCTGACACATGACTAACCACATATTTAAAGCAGTACAGACATTCCACAGGGGAGCTGACAAATACGTCCAAATACAAACTAACTGACAAGAACTGTTGTTTAAATTCTGTCTGTATATATACATTTTCAACATTATTTGGTTTTCTCTCACTTACCGAGGAATTTAGTTCACTGAGACAGGAATACAAAATGTTATATTCATGGCACCCACCAATTTCAGATTGTGATTAAGGAATTGATTCTGAATAAGCCTTTTTTTTAGAAAGCTCAAAACAAAAAAAATTCAATGATCTGCATCTGCAATGTACAGACTTTGGATCATCCATTGGAGTCAGTAATGTAAGTTAGCAGTATTTTATATTTGTTTCTGTAATCCACATATTTTTTTCCACTTACAGAATTGATTTTTGTTTCAATAAAATGCTACTATTTTATTTTCAAAAGAAAAACAGGGAACAAGTAAAAGCTTTTAAGCCAGTGGAGGAGACTATTATACTCAAACATCAGAGGACAACCAGTGGAAGACAGCTACAAGATTTACTTTCACACCAAATCAGAAAAAAAGCCTTTTCATCTGAACACTCATTAGCAAAATCAAACGAGACATGCAATAATACTTTTTGCACACTAACAGATGTTGTTTTTTCTGCTATAGGGTAGTGCTTTCCTTCAAAAATGAACCCATTTAAATCTTCCCCCAACTGGCTGTGACTGGGGGGTCTTCTCAATTCTGCAAGGACAGACAGGTAATACCATATGTATGGGAGAAACACACAATTGGGAACAACAACTAAAAGCCTATCATTTTTTTCTGCTGTGTTAAAAAAGGGCCACATTGTGCCCTTAGTAAAAGGACAGATTATTTCTTTCAGTTCAGCATTTATCAGTCAAAAATGTATTTTTTTTTAAACCTTGATTCATGTCTTTGGATTGCAATGTTACCATTAAAAATGTACTTCACAGAACTTTCTAAAGTTTTACTGATAAAAGTGGGTATTGATTAAGAGAAATCTTACAGTGGCTGTGTCCTTAACAAGTATTCACTAACCATAATGGGAGACGAAAATAAACCTGATTCAGAGAATTGAAAGGATTAGATACGTTGTAAGATATTTAATGAAACGTGTTCTCGGTTATAGCAATGACTAACATGGTTCCATCAATGTTAATCTTGTAATGCGGTTTTAATAAAGTGATTGAGTTCCGTGGCCTAAGGAGACATTATAATGAAAATTATGAGTAATGATTATTTCAAACACATCTAAAGGTAAGCCTGAAGAAATGTTTTATTGATCCTGGTATCAAGCTAATACTGTGAGTAAAATATATTCCTGCCTTTCAGCAAACACTGTTTTAAAAATCTGTTGATTGTGATGTGATATGATGCTTCCTAGGGGACTTCCCATGAGGGGGACTATTTTAGGTGATATTTTATGGTAAGGTCCTTTTGCTTAGTAGTCTCATTGAACTGAAAATCTTTTAAATACAATAAAGACCAAATAATTTGGTGTACACAGTGACCTGTCAACAAAGACTCCAGTATTAGATTAATGTTACACAGCAGACTGGCTCAATAGACTTTCAGATACCCAGTGAAAATGACAGAATCTTCCACATTATTAGCTAAATTGTTTAGCTATTAAAAGAAATCTATTGAGTTATGGTCATATTTATGCTAATCTTTTAACACAATAAATGTCCTTAAATGTTTTCAATAAATTTAGTAATTATATTGTTTCATAGCCTTTTGAAAATAAATTGACATTTCTTATCTTTTCAAGTATTACACTACTTTTCTAAAATTCTACATGGCAGGAGAAGCAATAAAAGGATGAGATGTTAGAATGCATAATAAAATATCCAAAACAAGGTAAAATATGTTAAGATTATACAATGGTAAGACCTCAGTTTGAACACTGTTTTAAGATTTACAAAAACAAGGTTGTCAGTCTAGAAATCAGATCAAATTAAGGTTCATTAATGGACTCGGTAATATTACACATGGAAATTAAGTAAATGATATGAATCTCTTCAGTTTTGCACATAGATGCCTTTCACACAGGTGATTTGAAACAAGTACAATATATAAAATCAGTAACAGTACAAATGTAGTCAATTCATGTCTATTCTCCTCGTGTTCTGGTGGGTTTCCTCAGGGTGATCCGGTTTCCCTCCCCAGCCCCAAAACACACTGGTAGGTTAATTGGCTTCTTGGAAAAAAGGCCTTGGTGTGTATGCATGTCTGTGTTTTAAATCTGTCTGCTCTGTGATGGACTGGCATTCTGCCCAGGGTGTACCCTGCCTTGTTCCCGTTGCTTGCCAGGATAAGCTCCAGTTTCCTCATGACCCTGAGTAGGAAAAAGTGTTTAGAAAATGGATGGAAGGATTTAGGACTGAAAAGGGGAAGGAGGTAATTCACACAAATCACAGGGATATTGGTGTGTTGTTGTATAATACAAAATGTAACAAATTCTAAACAAAACTGAAGCAATTTAGCCCTGTTATTTACTACAAATGTAAACAGGATTACTGGCTGCATGCATTTTTAGCCTTATTAACTTACCGTGCTTTCCCTATAATGTCTAGTTTTTTCAGTGTCTTGGGTATATATGGATTTATAGGTAGAGAAATTAAAGCCAAAAGTTGTTTACATGGTTTCTATGGGTTTCACAAAATTGATTAGAGCAGTTATCACATTTCCCTCAGAAATCGGTGCATACTTCATGCGAGCAATGTTTGACAAGAGAAGCTTAAAGCACTTTTAGGTTATTAAGTTTTCAGTCAGAGTAATTACAGTGTCTTCTCATAGTGTCATTTTTCAGTGGGCTTTACTACTAATCTCTTCACAGCAAACCAGTTTTTCTCTGTATATGTAAGAGGAAACCAGCCTCTTTTTGTGACTTTTTGGAAATCATTTTGCACATTTATTTCCAGATGGCAAGTCCAAAAATGTTAATTAAATTGTTAATTCATTGACATCACCTCAACAACTGTGGAAAACAACAGACAGATCCTGTCGAAATCAGAATCATACAGTGAGAATTCTGGAAAGCTAAATCTGCGGAAATAATTATTGGTACTGTTACCAAGCTGAAAAAAGGTTATATTTATTATTTTATTAATTACCATAGATGTTTATGGAATCACAGATGTATAGACTGATACCCTATTTAAGTCACTAGCACAATCTATGTGTCACATGCTGGAATGAATGAGCATTCAGTGAATGTGGAGGAGGTATCACTGACAGATAGGAATAATATAACATAATGTTCAACCTCCTTAATTAATACATGTATTTTACTTCAATTACATTACAGCAACTGTACAGCTTTTCATCAAAAAGGCAATGTCTTCTCTTAGCATTTAAACATAATCCTGTTTTTTTTGTGAGAAACAAAGGGCATCTTGTTCTTAGAACTTAGAAAAACAATGTACAGTATGTGTTTGTTGGAAGAGCATTCCTCCCCCTCATTGTAGCAATGAAGCAGGTCATCGAGCGTCCTTATGAAATAAAGCACATTTCATCTCTCTTTCAGTGCCTCATCTGTTTGGTGACACACCTCTATTATATGCCTCAGAAGTCTCCTGACCCCCTGCAAAGCCTGTACCATCTGTACCCTATTGAATACATGGATATTAAAAGCCTTAATACTTTACCCTGAGCATTTTATATGAAATGTTTAACTTGCTGACAAAATCTTTCTTCACCATAGCATGTCAGATTAACACACTGGTATAGAAATTCAGAAGGAGGATTGAAAAGCTTTGAAGTCTCAAACGAAGACTAAGAAGGAGCTCTAGCTGTAAGCCTCTTATCTTTAATACATCTGTCTTTCTCTTTTCTAGTATAATTGCACAATAAATTTATATCTAGTGGTGCCACTGAAAAATGTACTGCATGTCAGGGTGTGCATTACACTTGAGCCATGAGCTCTGAGGTCACGTCCAAGCAGTCACTTGACTTAAGATGTCAAGTCATATAATATTTATAGGGTTCAGTTACCTAGAGAATTTTTTCTCCTGCTTGTTTCTTGGTTGTTTTCTACTAGATTTAAGCTCCCTTACAGCACAACTAAAAACATGCTCTTTCATCCAGAGTTTCCAAACGAACGGTTTGTTTTTCCATTACCCTATTTTCCATTTACCATACCCTCCCATTTGGAATCACCTACCAGTATGTTTTTGGACGCTGGGAGGAAACCGTTTCTTTTATACCTCAGCTCACAGCAATGACTCCTGTACTGAACAGGAGGAGCAGGTAAGTCTTTCACCTGTCCATCCTTTGAGCTATTCATCTTTTGACAGACTTGGAAGCTCTCCAGCAAATTGACACATCCTTCACTGAGGTCACCGCAAGCCACAGGTGTCGCTGTGTCACCAAGAGCTGAGAGCCTCATCAGACTGTATCCTGCCCTTATTCTGGGAATTGTCACTTGGAAAATCCTGGTCACATACGGATAGTCACATGACCCAGGTTCAAACACACTACACCTGGGACAGTGAGTTACATCCTGTGCATTGAGAAAGCAATTATTTCTGGCAGAAAGACTTACTGTAAGAGCCCCCAACAGGAAGGATTTTTAAAGAATTTTACTTTTACATATTAAAATAATATTTGGTTACACTTATATAGCTTTTTTTCTGGACACTCCACTCAAAGTGCTTTACAGGTAATGGGAACTCCCCTCCACCACCACCAATGTGCAGCATCCACCCGGAGGATGCGACGGCAGCCATAGTGCGCCAGTATACTCACCACACATCAGCCATCAGTGTGGAGGAGAACAGACTGATAAAGCCAATTCATAGATGGGGTTTATTAGGAGGCCATGATTGGTAAGGGCCAATGGGAAATTTGTCCAGGATGACAAGGTTACACCCCTACTCTTTTCGAGAAACACCTTGGGATTTTTAATGACCACAGAGAATCAGGACCTAAGTTTAACATCTTATCTGAAGGACGGCGCCTGTTTACAGTACAGTTTCCCGTTACTATACTTGGGCATTAGGACCCACAGGGACCGCAGGGTGAGTGCTCCCTTCTTCTAGCCCCTCTAACACCACTTCCAGAAGCAACCTTAGTTTTTTCCAGGGGGTCTCTCATCCAGGTACTGACCAGGCTCACACCTGCTTAGCTTCAGTGGGTTGCCAGTTGTGAGTTGCCGGGTGATATGCTGCTGGTATTATGTTATTGTTATTTAACCCAGGGGCATATACAGTTATTTTATTTTATGTGTGTTACACGGGGTGGAAATCAGTTTATTTATACATTTTAAGCATTAAAAAATTGTTCATAATTCATGTAAAAAAATTGAACAATGTATTTGAAACCCTCAGTGGCCCTGACAGTCAACTAATTCAAATTCTCCAGAATAAACAGTAAAACATGAACTACAGAATATAACTGGAAACTGCTGGCAGCTGCACTGGGGGGCTGTGGAAGTCAAGAACAAGCTATCCAGCTACTGTATTGTACAGTAAATCATCAAAATAGATACAAGTAATAGGTTTATTCCATGCTGGAAAAAAAAGAAAGAAAACACAACGTTTTCGGCCGTGGAGCCTCGTCTTTCTCACACCTGAAGAAGACTCCACAGCCGAAACGTTGTGTTTTCTTTCTTTTTTTTCAGCATGGAATAAACCTATTACTTGTTCCTTTGCAGTCTACGCATGCTGACCCAGCTACCCACCTGAACTATCAAAATAAATATCCTGACTTATGTCAGGAAGTGACTAGATGAGATATGTGGATCAATTAACTACTAGAAAGCAAACATTCCAGATGGGCCAAATGGCCTCCCATCATTTGTAACAATTACTGTGTTCCTAATATTATATTCACAAGAAATAGTAATTGAAAGAAAGTAGTTAATTAATAAGAAAAATGGTCTAACCACATGCAGGATGGAGCAGAAGCTTTATGTTACACATTGAAGCAAAAAGTAGAGTATATAAAATGAGAATAAGTCATCTCGGCAACCAAGATTCAAGCTTTAAGAACAAACAGTTTGAAGAGCAGGTGTTGATTTATTGTTTAAAGAGGTCAACTAAAGGAACCTGTGATCTGATGTCCCGATTGCAGTACTGGTAATTACTTACAAAGCTACAAGGCAGAGATAGAGATGGCAGCTTCTACAGGTTAGTGTAGAAAAGGCAGTTTCAGAAGAAGTATTCCAAAGATTGTCAGAGATATGATGCAGTCCCAATATTAGAAAACTGCAATCAAAGGAGAAATAGAAAGATCTGGCTTCTCAAAAACAGCAGTTACTGAAATATTGATGACCCTTACCTAGTTTTTCAATTAAGCTACCTCAGAAGAACAAAACAAAGTAATTATAATATTTTTCTTCACAACCAGCTATCACAGAAGGCAATATTTATTTTCAAAAGAACTAAAAATATATTTTTTCCAAGCTTATATTTTTTTCAAAGAAAGGCTTAAAAGATAGCACGGAAACCTATTACAAGAAGATGTACTTCTACAGAGCTACATTTCATTTGCTTTTGAAATAATGCAAAATATTGATCACTCCCCTCTGATGTCCTAAGATATAAAAGCACACACAAAAAAGAAAGAAACAAAATTAATCATCCAGGAAATTATTAGCTTTCCCATAGAAAATCTAAACCTTTTGCTAAATTAAACTGAAATGAAACTTGCGCAAAAATTCTATTTCCCAGCTTTATTGTCTCTCAACATTTTCGCTACAGTGACAATAGCATCAGCAAACCGTGACACTTCTTGTAATTTTCTGTCTCAGTGTACTTTTTCACCCAGTGATTTAAACTTTTTTCTTTCCTTTTCACAAGATGCTCCTTTACAGTTCATGTTAACTCTCTACTTACTTCTAAACATGAATCAGTGGCCTCATTCACTTTGATTTAAACAGTGTATTTTTTTTCTTTCAATAGTTTAAATATGCCAAACATTTGTCTACCATAAAGGAACATTTAGTTTAATAACAAACTGGTCTTTGCGAAATGAGGCTGAATACAAAATATGCCATTTTAGAAATGTGCACATCCTGCTTTCTTAGTGATAGCTCTGTTGCAAGTACAGTTGGATGAATACAAATAATTGCCTTGGCTCTTGATTTATAACAGAGGTGTAAAGTGCAATACAGCTACAATAGATTCATATCCAAGAACTTTATGAGACAAATGGTATATTGCAGAGTTTGGCTGAAAAGAATTGCACAGAGTGAGTTCAGGGCTGTGCCTCGTAAGGGCACAGTTTTAATGTGCACCAAAAGAGAAATCTATTACTGAAACACACTATTACTGATCTCAACCATATGAGATCAGTGCTTGAATGCATTATCTAAAAGGTAAGCAACAGCTTTAAATTTGAGGGCTGAGGAACGAATTAGATGCCTTAGCCCTCAATATTGCTTGCAGCTCAGAAACGCTTCCTTAAACTGACATGAGACTTTAGGCAAAGGCTAGTCTTCACTTTTCCAAAAAGAATATAGGATTGTAACTGGCAAGACAAATAAACATACGGAGAAGTCTCAACAAAGCAGACTTTATCTTTACATCGGTAGCTTTAGGAATTGTTTCTCCTTTTAGGAGGTGAAAAAATGGCTAATAATAATTACTGCTTACACTTATATAACACTTTTCTGGACACTCCACTCAAAGTGCTTCACAGGTAATGGGGACTCCCCTCCACCAACACCAATGTGCAGCATCCACCTGGATGATGTGACAGCAGCCATAGTGCGCCAGAACGCTCACCACACATCAGCTATCAGTGGGGAGGAGAGCAGAGTAATGAAGCCAATTCATAGATGGGGATTATTAGGAGGCCATGATTGGTAAGGGCCAATGGGAAATATGGCCAGGATGCCGGGGTACGGAGCAGAAAACAAAGTAAAATCTGTGCAACTCAGTCACTTCTGTGCAAATGTTCTTGTGAAATATCCTTCAGGGGTGTAATTAAAATCCATCACATTCTAAAATTATTTAGCCTATAATCAATAGACATTTAATTTGGATGAGAAATTGGATAAGAATAAATTAACCAATTTATCTTAAGCAACTCATGGATCTATTAGTATTTTAATAAATTGGTAATTACTTGTTAATCACTTTATTATATACACAGGGGCTTTAAATATGTTTAGTTAAAACTGGAAGAAAACAGACATGATACAAAATAATACAAAACATGATTAAAATCGTCAGGATTCAATGCATGGAGCTGAGGTTCTTCAGGGAGGATTGTCTCATCTGTTAGTATTCTCTCAGTCTCTTCTGACATAAAAATATATAGTTCAACCTACAATGAGCGCTAGCCTTTAGAAAAAGTGAAAGCATTTAATTGTCCGTTAACACAAAACAGAATGAAAACAAACATATTCATAAATTGCCTGCATTAGTGGAGCAGGCAAGGGCTTCAACCTTTAAAGGTGCTCACTCAAGTACAGATTGAGCTCTATGATCCAAACATCATGGGTTCAGTGAGGGTTCATGGTACTAAATGACTGTGACCCAGATTCCTCATGTGGCCACGCACAATTGTCAGAATGCTGCCAAGTATTGGCAGAGCTGGGATTAGCTGACCAGCGCTGTCTCAGCTCCTTGAGAAACAGCAGCCCCTGTGCCCTCCTGAGTACCCACAGTCCTGCAGCACTGTTAGCAGTCTTTTAATCAG